TGCAAACACACATCGCCTTACATCTTTTATCTCGCCTCCGACACAGAATTGTTTTTGTATAAAATTACGCAAAAAAGCTTACTCGTTCGTTTTTAGGCATGCCATTGTTACGAATGTCGAAAGTTCGAAGATACGATTCGGATTACAGCATACTATTTCTACAATTCGTAGCAAAATCCGAATACGAAAGAGTTGCAGAATAGGGGTGCATATGAAAAAGCATCCGTAGAAAAAGCAAGCGTAGTTGAATTGAATATTTCCATTATACGTAGTGCATGTATAATGGAAATATTGAATTTTGAACACTTTTCACTTGATTTAAATACGAACATTTTTAAACGNCATATGAAAAAGCATCCGTAGAAAAAGCCAGCGTAGTTGAATTGAATATTTCCATTATACGTAGTGCATGTATAATGGAAATATTGAATTTTGAACACTTTTCACTTGATTTAAATACGAACATTTTTAAACGGTAATCAAATAAAACATTTTAATTTTTGGAACGCGTTTTTTTCTGATTGTAGAGTAATCGAACATGGTATGGAGATATATGAAATCAATCCCACACTCTTGGAGAAAATTGGGCCTATCTTTGTATGCATATACACGTTTGCTAGGTTATTTAAGACGGTAATGGAAATATGCCTTCTGACAACCACCAAATCGTAATATGAAAAGATAAATGCGTCACAGAAAATCATGATCGTGCACTGTTGGTGAAAATGTTGGACCAAAATATGTCAATACAACAAATTAATTTTGGGCGCGACGAAGTTCGCCTGGTCTGCTATTTTTATACCCGAGCGCACTTGTGTACAAGGGTATTATAACTTTGTTCACATAACGGTTGTTTGTAACAGGCAAAACGAATCGAGATAGATTCGTCCGTCCGTCCGTCCGTCTGTGCACACGATAACTCGAGTAAAAATTTAGATATCTTAACGAAACTTGGTACGTGGACTTCTATTGGGCGTAGGTCGGATGGTATTGAAAATGGGCGAAATCGGACAATAACCACGCCTACCTCCCATATAACGGTAATTTTCAGAAATACGAAAAGTGCGATATTTTAGTAACTACTAAAGATNATTTGGTATGAAGACATATTCATGGTAGGCGCTTATAGTAAGGTATATATCGGGGGTGGGCAAGGCCGAGGCCGATAAGAGCCACATGTAAATTCCAAATGCTACAAAGAGTCACAAAAAACAAGAAAAACACAAAATTTTATTTTTCAATAAAATTATTATTAGAAATGAAAAGCATTAATTTTATTTTAATTCTAATGTACGTAAGATAGATATTAAAGAAAATTGAAAGATCCCTTTGGCCAAATTTTCAAAATCTGGTTTTACGTCAGTCAAAGCCGTTCGTAACAGTTCTGTTATATGTTGGTTAGTCAATAGGTACGTTCGTTTAAATCTCCAGTAAAATATGTCCAACAGCAAAATTACGGCGAAATGGCATATGTTCTCTCACAAGAGAAAAATATCCAAAACAGTACGCGAACAGAAAATTTGCAGAAACTTGTAAGTTAGACGAACAGCTGATAGAAATTTTGTTTACATTCAATAGTATAATATTGAAAACGTAAGAAAACAAATCCCGAAGTCTTATCCTGACACAGTTCCCTGACTAAACGAATAATTACTTTCTTCTTACAAGTTTAATTAGTCGCATTTTACTATTTTAACTTCCAAACCATCAAATTCAATTTAGGGATTTGCTTAAATTCCAACCAGCTGTTTTTGATCAGCTGTTTTCTCGGTGGCAAATTGCAGTTGGCAAAAAATTCCAGCAGAAACTAGCAGCTCTCCCTCAAAATTAAATGTCATTTTGCTCTCTCAATTTCGCTACTTTGCAAGTTTTTTGGGTACGCGAACACAAAAAGGTGATAGTTTTTATAACTTTCCATAATTATCAGGTACGCGAATGCAACTAATTGAGAACGGTATTTTGACTTTACGAATTTCATTCTAGAGTACAGACTCACAGTTATACGTTGGACCAAAAATTGGAAATATACGGGACGCCGCTGTTTTCAACAGCGGATATTTTAAATCTGGTACTTATTTTCGGAATTCAAGGAATAGTAGAGCTTTATGTTGCATTTCCAGTGCCTTGTCTTCTCTTAATTCCAAAAACTCCAACTCTTTTTCGCTTTTCTTAAAAAGGACTATTTCGGAGATTGTAAATTCATCCTCAATTATGTAACATCAAAAAGGGTTTATGAAGTATGCAAACGTACATTTAAATAATTTCAAATCGGCAAATCTTTTTTCAAAATCTGCTTTTAAATCATGTGCAATATTTTTTCTAGCAATCAGAGATCATAAAAAAAATTCAAGTTTTGCAAATGTTCCATCATATCGGTAAAGAACATTAAGTCAGAAAGCCAATTTTCATTCCCCAATTGCGGGTAATATTACGATCTGAATTTGCTTTTGTGTATATAAAAATAATAAAAACAACTCAATGGAAAAGAATGTCCAGCAAAGAAATATGTATTTTAAAAAGTAAAAATAACCAAAATGTTCTAATCAAAGAGAAAATAAAAAGAGCCACACTCTGCTAAGCAAAGAGCCGCATTTGGCTCAAAGAGCCGCGTTTGCCCACTGTTGGTATATATGAACGAGTTTGTACAAGGGGCGTGGCACATTTCATAGGGGTGAGAGTTTTAATCAGCAATAACTTCGGAACCGTAAATCACATGAATTCAATACGTGGTGTGAAGACAGATCTATAATAGATGTTTACAGTCAAGTATCCATATATATAAATAAATTTGTAAAAGGGAGCGTGGCACATCTTCAAGGCGTCAGATTTCTTCGAAATTTAGTGTGAAGACATAAGTCAAGTAGGCGCTTATAGCGAGGTTAACATAAGTGAGTTTGTATAAGGGGCCGCGGCATATTCTATAGCCGTGAAATCTCATATTTGCTATATCTTCGGACCCCTCTCACATGGTGAGAACATCTATGGTAAATGTATCCAATAGATGTAGTACGTTCAGAGAACCATAACCTTGGAACCATTACAAACAGACAGCTAAACGTAATGACCTGTTGTAAACTAAACAGGGATAAAAGTTTGCATGAAGTCGTAGCACCTCCCACCACACATGCCGTCTACGTTCAGAAAGTATCAATTTCAAAATTCAAGCGCATTTCATTCTTCTTTAGGTACCTTGATCCACATAACCTTAATAACACTATGCGACAGTCAAAATCGGGTTGGGATGAAACCAACGGGAAATGTTATATCGGTCAAAAACAAGTTATACGTGTCCCGGCGTTGCGCTGGGTTACGTCTAGGAATCGAGATATATATATAACTATCATATAGGGGAAATTCTCACCTTTGGTGGTCTTTTTTTGACATAACTCGAGAACCACTAGTCCGATTTTGCTCAAACAAATTTAAAAAAATTAAAAATTACAATTCCTTTAATCTGTTCATATAACGTTTCCGATCACTGACCCCTACCATTTGTCTCACAGTGTAATGAAACAAGATTTTTAGTAAAGAAAATAATGACCACTTGCAGCAAGAATTATTACTGGATTCGGCAAAGGAGAAGATGTGTTTCTGTAAAAAGTCCTATTTATTCCCACAGACTTTTCATTTTAATTTAAAAGTCTTCAGTATTCTCTGAGATTTTACTTTGACGTGTGATTATTTGTCGAATGCAACGAAATTTATTGTGGTTTCTGTTACAGATTGAATTATATTTGAAATGAAAATTATTAAAAATAATAATAATTAGTTGAACCTGGTATGCTTCTACACCACAGCAAAAAATGCAAAGTATTGTTCAGAAGGAGGTCTTAAATTAAATAAGAAAAGTATTATGTCTCCTTTAATTTATGGTGTACTGAAAATCTTTCTTACTGTTTTATATTTTTCTTTGTTTACCCCGAACAACGTCGGATGCTCGGCATCATAAAATATACTTTTTCAAAAAATTGTGCCGACAGATGGTGCTAGTGTCGAGATATTTAGAGAATCCGTCTTTATCGTACGACCAGGGCTCGAATCGTCACACACGATATCGTACTACTCGTCACGTAAAAACACATTTTTCGGATTATGACATACGTAAACGTACTCTTTGTCCCATTCAGCTTATACTGCCTGACGTATCACGTAATTTTCTTTCGTATCGTTTTCGATCCGTGAACGGATGTTACAATTCGAGCCCTGGATTAACAGGTACAAAGAAGCGCAACATTGTTAAAGCGTCACAGATGTCCTAGACACATCAACGGGTCATCGGTATATGAAGAAGAAGTGTGACGAATTTAGAAGAACATGGTAGGAACATCAATGACCATGTCTGAATGGGAAAACTCTGTCTTCCTGTGGTACAGCAGGATTTTAAACCTTGCAAAACGTTCAGATATCTCCCAGGTGGAAATAAAGGCTCATAGCATCGAAGGAGATTAGCACATATACCATAAGGAAAATTCTGTTCTTCAGTCCTTTCAACTTAAGCTAATAATGTTTACATTACAAATCGTTTTTGTATTTCATTGTATTGTATTTATTGTATCGGTCAACGCAAAAGTTCTTATGAGGCGTCGCGAAGCAAGCCAGGCATTTGCTAGTTTTACATAAAATGTAAAAAATACCTTATTTGTTTCGCATCAATCAATGGATCTTTGCACACTGAACTCAAACATGGCTACGCCATTTTCATATCTCGTCAGGTTTGGAAGTTATAGAGCCTTTTTTGCGTAATCTTAGGGCTCTTGAGGCTGATCACATTTTTATGACCAAATGAACCTATAAAAGAGGAGCAGTCTTGCTTTGTGGGTCAAAGTTGAAAAAGAAGACGCACCCTAATGTATATACATAAATACATATGTATAAAATTTAAGTATTAAAAATGCATACATACGTGCATATATACAAAAATACGTATGTATTATCTAGAAGTGTAAAGTTGTTTTCCACGGTAATTCCTAAGGTGCGTTTATTTTCTCAAAACATTTTAGGTAGCTGCATTAGGTTTAGTTCCTGATCGCCATTTAGGCAAATCGTTGCGGGAAATACAACCACACCTACTCAAAATGCGTGATAAGTACGGTTTGAACGTTTGTGGAGAAGGAGGTGAATATGAAACATTCACTTTAGACTGCCCTTTGTTTAAACAGCGGATTGTGGTGTAATTGAAAAACACTTACTATTTACTTTTTGTATAAGCAACTAAATCCTAAACTTTTATATTTCAGGGAAGATGTTCAAACTATAATTAGCTCAGCAGATCCCATATGTCCGGTAGGGTATATTAACTTCACCAAATTATCTATGCAATCGAAAGAGCCGACTCAGTGCTGTGATGTGTTTGTAAAAAAATCTTTAGACTACATAAGTGACCTAAACGAATCAACATACAGTGACCTCAGCGATCCAGATCTCAGTGAAACTGAGTTAGAATTGATAGAGAAAGAGACACGGCTGCGCGAGTCTCTCAGTCAAAACGAACTGATGATATCTCGCAGCAATTCATTTGGACGTCATTTGACCACTTCATCCTCGCCCATACCTATTGTGACGAAGAGCGCGAGTGTAGATGAGCCTCCTACACCGTCGTCATTGCTTTCATCCTCAGCGGCGCTGTGCGCTGCATCATTACAGGCAGGGACCAACAGCTTTGGTGTACAACGCCCATTGGGTAGTAGTACGGCTGCAGTGTGTGGCTCGCTATCGCTGGTGACGTCCTCTACCTGTGCCACGGCTGGCATCTCGACTGCACAGGCAACTCAGCCACCTAGTCCAATGAAAATTGAACGTGAGTTCCGTCCACTAAAAAATCAACCAATGGCTGCGTTTAATCAAAAAGGTTGGATGTGGGTCGCTGGTATACAAGGTAAAATAATTAAGCTCGCTTGCTCTCTTGCTAATGAACCTTATCACCTGAATTAAACTTCCATTTTAGGCTGCGCTCAAACTTTGGAAGAGGGAATGCAGTTGGCAATGAAATCCTTGGTTGACTTAGCTGCTCAGCACAATTATGAATTAACTGATTACTGTTACGTAACACTTTATATACGTTCAATGGCAGATTATCCTTTACTCAATCATATTTATGGCCAAACAATTAATTTTCAAAATCCACCAACTCGGGTATGTGTTGAATGTCCTCTGCCAGAGGAATGCCACGTGATACTGGAAGCGATAGCATTTCGTACACCCATGCGACGCCGTCCGACATTATCTACAAACGAAATAGATGGTATGTAAAACTAGTAGGGCGTATTCAATAAATTCTGACATCGTTACTTTACTGTTCCCTACAGGTAACAATGATGATCACAATAATAGCGGAGATTCGACGTTTAAAACAAGGCAAACAATGCATGTGCAGGGTATCTCCCATTGGGCGCCAGCAAATATTGGAACCTACAGTCAATCGACGAGGGTAATTAAAGAAATCGATATATTAAAATAGAAAATAAATTTTTATTAGAAAATGTGCACGCGTAATATTTTTTAGGTTGACGAGATTACCTACATTTCTGGTCAAATAGCACTTGTTCCTGGAAGCATGACAATTATCGAAGGTGGAATTCGTCCACAGTGCAAACTGGCTTTGCGGCACATTAGCCGAATAGCGAAGGCGATGAATGCTCAGGGTCAACTACGAGATGTAGTTCATGGTATTTGCTTCCTGACCCACCCAGCCTTTATAGCTGAGGCACGTCGTCAGTGGGAGCGACGGACAACTAATGCAATAATGGATTATATTATTGTACCTGCTTTGCCCCGTGATGCATTGGTGGAATGGCAAGTGTGGGCACATACCCACAATGATCGATTCGAATGTAAGCATGGATTTTTCTGGTCCAACCAACTTAAACTTTTCTTTTGCAACATATTGACTTTAGCATAGGGCTACCATACGTCCCCGTTTCCAGGGACATGTCCCTGTTTCGGACCCTTTGTCCCCGTGCCCCTGTTTACAACCAAAATGTCCCTGTTTTGGGCGAAAAATGAAACTCATGATAACGCTGCGTTTGCATAAGACAATTTGGTTTAATTTGAATAATTGTCAACTTTTTCTGACGTCTGGCGTCCAGAAAATTATAAATACAATACACTTTGCAGCAACCGCTGTACAGTGCTTAATTTCGGCGATTTAGGGGCAGGAAAATCGATAATCGAAGTTGGTAAAAAAAATCTATCAATTATTTAAGAGGAAAGATTCTAATGATATCCGATGAATGTTATGAGGAAGTAACTTATTTAAAATCGTTTATTGAAAACTATACATTAACCCGCATCCATCGTTTGTATCAAATTGATACAAATTTCGAAAACATATTAAAATATTAAGAAAAATAGTTAATGTTTTGAATTGTTTTTTACGACTAATTCATATAGAATTTTAAGAATTTTTATTCTTATTATGAGAAAATGAATAAACGTTGGTCATTAGATAATAAAAAATGAAAAAAACCCAACATTTCATTAAATACTAGGGTATTTTTCCATATCGTCGTTTAATGTACAAAACCGCGTATCAACAAAATGCAAAACCGCGTATCAAGATAATGCAAAACCGGGTATGTGAATTATGTAAATAATTTTCTAGAGACTAGAAACACTCATATTTCAAAATGGTTCTCTTTTTTTATAAAGCAATCGCATTTCTGGCTGGTATATTTCAGGACGAATGGATAAGGATTGAGCCAAAAGCTTGTGTGAGCAAATCTAATTTTTGGCAGCAAATGTAACTGGTTTTGCAGAATGACGAATGACAAAATTTCCGATGGATGCGGGTAAAAGTGGAAAGAAATGCCGCCCTTAGAAAAATGGAGTTTATTTTTTAAAGATACTATTGAACACGAACGAAAAGCAAACCTGCTAAAATTTTTGCAATACATATGTGCAATCCCTTCCCACAGTGCGAATGTTGAGCTAGTTTTTTCTCTTATTTCATCACAATGGTCTAAAGAGAGAAATTCGCTTAACATTGGCACTGTGGAAAGTATCGTTCAATGCAAGTTCAACTTTAAAATGACGTGCACTGAATTTTACCATTATGTGAAAAATGAATACGAACTTTTAAGTAATGTTAAAACCAGGGACGTTCCGGGTATCTGGTAGATATCCGGAATCCTGCTTATCCGGACGTTTTTCTGTTATCCGATTGGATTATAAAAATACAAAAAAAAAAAGTTTAAATAGAATCTAGTTCAGAATTTTTTTTTGTATTTTTATAATCCAATTTAATGTTAGATACGATTAGTAATTAAAATAAACGATTTTAATATTTTTAATTATGAAAAGAAGTATTTCCGAGTTATCGGGCAAAAATCTATTTCTATTTTCAACATAAATGCTACCCGATATACTAACTCACTTTCTGGGTTCACTGAGGAAGGTGGTGCGCACAGATACTTCATTGCCAGTATAAACAAATTACGAAATTCTTTGCGATTATGCTTCCACCAAATTAAAGGATCTTCGCGTCTGGGTATAAGGTAGCTGAAAATATATCTCGCATTTCTAAATCGCTAGCTTTTTTCGTGTACGGTCGCTACCTTGTGTACCCATCGTTTGCCTATCAACATCACTAAAAAATCTGGAATGAGCCGTTGGCGATTTTCTCGTGGTGTGCGCCTTGGTGTTGGGAGGAGGGGAGGGACCTACAGTTTTACGCCGACTCCGAACGGTGATTGTATTTTTATGAGAAACTGTTTTTCACAGCAGAAATACAGTCGGAGGTTTGTCATTGCCCGCCGACAGACGACCACTGTTAAGGAAAAACCGTTTTTCTATATTTTTTTGCGATGTTGCTTTCGACCAGATCTTGAACTCAGGCCCTGCGGAGCGGAAGCGCGCACTGCTTACCACGATTCCTTAAGCATTGCCAAATATCCTGGTGAGCTCCCAGGGAGTTTTTAGCTGTATTGATGTCAGAAAAGAACGAGTTTTGAAACGTGGGTCACAAAATATCGCAACAACGGGACGATACGGGAAGCGGACGATATGTAAGCATGCATAATAGTACGATTTTCATTACATTTTTTTAATAAAAATACATCAACCACGCGTTTTGCTTAGCGGAGTTCATTGTTTTTTATCTTTTGTCTTTGACGTTTCTCCTCTATTTACCAAAAATAACACAGGCATGCAATATTTAAATTTTGATTCCCCCTTCCAATAATTATGTTATTTGTTGAGTATCTAGGTATGTTATGTATTTAAATACACCTTTGGTTTTTTCTAGCATGTCGAAATTTTTTTTTTATTGATGGCATATAAATTTTCGGATTTTTAGCAATTTACATGAAAAGCCGAAAATTAATTAATTTAGAATTGAATTTTTACTTAAAAACCAACAGCGTTAGTTGGTATTTAGATATAGATTTAGATAAATAGACTTATTAAACAAGTAAGAAAGTCTAAGTTCGGGCTGAGCCGAACATTAAATACCCGGCGAAAGTATTAAATGTATGTTTTTCACCTTTCCGAAAGCTACCGCTACATGGTAAACCGGGGTGTATCCATTTTGAGTAAATTAGCGTCCTTAAATTTCGAAATATTGAAGTTTCAAGCATTTCTGAAATTCACTGTTATATGAAAAGCGGTCGTAATTTTAGTTCGATTTCAATAATTTTCAACGTTTTGCTTCTATGTGGCAAGCACAATAACCACACCGAGTTTGGTACAAATTGCTAGAACGGTTACCGAGATACATATATGTGATCACAAGTAGGCGGTGCCACGCCCATTTTTCAAAATTTTATCANAAAAATCAAGTAGTTTCGAAGCTAACGCTAGTAATGCGCGTTAACGCTAAGAAAATAACTTTTATCAATTTTCTTAGCGTTAATTTCGAAATTACATAAGATTTACTTAGTCTATTTATGGGTATTTTTAACTAATACATTTGGTTTTTAAGTAAAAATTCAGTTCTAAATTTATTATTTCATGCAAATTGCTAAAAATCCTAAAATTATATATGTCACCAATAAAAAATCTCGACGAGAAACACCGATTTTATTTCACACATGGAGTACAGTGTAGTAGTTACTTGCATTTGATTTTGTTTTCCATAAAGTAGACGCATAAACTACTCGTTGCATAATTATAAATCTAGTAAAAAAGTCTTTGGAACAGCCGTCACAACGAAGATAGATAAATACTTTCATTTATGACTTTTGCATGGTAACAGCTCTCTTAAAATAGAGTGGTTAATTTTTTAATAATCATAATTAGGACCGAAAAGTTTAAGCTTTTCCTTGGCATTGCTTATTCAGGGTTTCCAAGCTTAATTTTAACGACTATGCTTATTTTACTTATTTCAATGTAAAAAGCCAAGTACGGATCTCATAAGAATACAGTAAATAAAAGATTTACTAGTATTTCGTGTTTGTGAATAGTAGTGTCCAAGGAATTTTGACATATGATATTTCACAGCATGCTGTCTCACTTTTTCCTTACGAAAGAATGGAAGGGGCATATATTTATGTTGAAAACAAGGGGGCCTTGTGCTCTTTCTTCACAAAAAACTTTAGAAACCCATAGGAGCAAATTTCATAATAACTCCGTACTGCATAAGAAGATTTGGCTCAATAAACTTTTCTTGGGCATTTCTTGGTCGTCGAACTAAATAAATGTTTACAAACAATAACACAAAACATATTTGGTTTTATTAACTCGTAACTTCTATTGCATTTCTGCTTGGATACAGAAATTTAAAACCAAAGGCTTGACTCTACGGGAAGGCATTGGTGTTATTGAAGATATTAAAAATAATTTACTCATATGGAGAATAACGATTTTAATATAAGAATTAAATTCAGTTTTAAAAATAAATTAAAAATTCATATCTTAGTGCAATATAATCCGCGTTATTTTTAATAATAGTAAAAAATGACAACTAAATAGATACTTTAACTTCTTCTTCTTCTTATTTGGCGCTGTAACCGCCTAAGCGATTTTGGCCGAGTTCAGCAAAGCACGCCAGTCGTTTCTCTTCTGTGCCAACTGACGCCAATTGGAAACGCCAAGTGAAGCTAAGTCCTTCTCCACCTGATCTTTTTATCGCAGTGGCGTAGCGAGTTGAATACATTCAGAGCTGGAGCGTCGGTGTCCATTCGAACGACATGGGCAAGCCAGCGGAGCCCCTGTATTTTAATTCGCTACATTATGTCCATGTCGTTGTAAAGCTCGGTACTCGCCGTCGCCAACGCGTAACGTCCCGTAAATCTTCCGCAAAATCTTTCTCTCGAATACTCCAAGAGCCGCCTCATCGGATGTTGTCATTGTCCATGGTTCTGATACTTTAACACCACTGCAAATATCAAATTTTGAATTCCGTCAAATGCTATAAAGAAACTAAATTAAAAAAAAAAAAAAACATTAACAAACATTTTTCGAGCATGTTTGTAAGCATATTTACTAATGTTTTAAAGCTTATCTAAGCGCTTAAAATTGCTTTTTCTTTGCTTATTTTCTTCGGCCTAATTTAAAAGAACTCAAAAAATCTAAAAATTACTTCTTGCAAAACTTTAAATCCAAAAAGAAATCCCAATAAAATGAGTAAAACTTGCAAATATGTCCTAATACACTGTTTGTGCTCCATTGACTTTAATTAACTGAAATATGGGCTTCCTTACACTTAGTCATAATGTATTCGGTAAAGCAGCATCCAGTTTATTAGAGTCCGACCGATTAATCGGTATCGGCATCGGCTAGTATCGGCACAAAATTTAGCATCGGCCTTTTTTCGCCGATTATTTGGAATTTCTTTTCATATGTTCAGGAATTTTTCAACATATATCGTGTATATAAATTTAAAAATCACCGCAAT